ATGATTTGATGCGTTATTTAACTTTAAATTATCAATCAAATACTGAATTTGATAAATAAATAATATTGGTCTATTTTAACATCAATTTGGAAATATTATACAAATACGGAAAGTTCTATGGATAATGGGAGCTTGACCTACAAAAAGCTTAAAGTAACTATAAAAGTAACTTTAAGGGTCAAAAAATCAAATCTATGGACTTAGTGATAACAACTAATTGATTCTGTAGCTTTAATAATTGCATCGCATTATCGTAGAATCATCTTAAATGATAATATAGATTTCTTATCTGCATTTTAAGAGTTTAATATGCAAGTATAGAACAGTAAATTATTTAGAGGAATTCTAGTATTTACGAAAATTGAAAACATCGTACACACTTGTCACGGTGCTTACGCACCGTACCAAAATAGTACATGCTTTGTGGCTACAATGATATTGTAAGCCGAAGAGATTACGTAACCAGATATAGGTTGTGGAAGGTACGATTTAAATTGTGATGTGTTAAAGGTCATTTATATCTATAGTTGGATTAGTAGTATTCTAAGAGATGTGTAAAAGCTTGTTGATAAAATCTGTTTAAACGACTGGACAAATTAATAAAAGTTAGTTCTTAGTTCCTAAGGTTAGAAGTGTAACGGAAATCGAAGGCGTACGAATTCTTGCGAGATCGTAGATTCGATCACAACGTTATTTTGTCACACGAAAGTTTTTTACAATACTACATAAATAAAGCAGAATTGTATTTTAATACGCGAGTAGATTTAATTGCGCTGTTACTAATTAAGCTTTACATATTTAATATCATTCAATCCTAGTTCCTAAAATGATTGCACTTGGCACAAATACTCAGTAATGAAATCATATTCCATTTCATAGAGCATTAGCTTATCATAAAATCGATCAAAATATTGTTATGTCATTACCAATACTGAAGTCAATTAAGTAAGGGTGTTTACCAAATGAGAGAAATATCGAGACTTGGCAAAGCAATAATTGAACAAGCAGAAGTTAGACGCTCTAGATTTCAAATAAACTAACTCTAGACATTACAGAAGGAAGGTCAGGGTTCAGCCAGTACAGCTGTAGTAGATACATATTACAGAATGGGCGATTATTGCGTATTTTACTTAAAAATAATAATTTTTACAAGTTGTCATACCGATATATAGGATTTCTCTAACAGACATCGATAATTGAATCATACATAATCACAGAAAATAAGAGAAAACACCCGTTAGAAGTTATTTTAGACAATTATAAACGGCATAGTGATCAATTTTAATTTATATGGTGCAGGATTTGTATTTAAAATCTCAATATGTTACGTGCTTTTATTAGTTGATAAATCTTAACTATGATATATAATCATGTAAATGTAAAAATGTTACAAATCTTCTTCTTTGTAACAAGAAACCGGGTCTTAAACACTAGCTTCACTAGTACTTGTATTTCCAACTAACTTAGGGACCTATCGTAGTTGAACTAACTCTCAGCTACACAAAAAACTACTATTGAGTAATAGGTTTAAATACTTTACTTTATTTTCGTTAACCTTAGTCGTAAAATGTACTAAAGAAAAACGTAAGAATATTCTTAGCTATAATAGTCAAAAGATCCTGCAAATGACTAACTGGAACTGAGAAGCTAAGCTAGTGCTCCGCTTTTTATAGTCTCGCCGATGGTACACTTGTGAATATTCTTGAAATAGCGGCTTACACTGTACAGTATACATATCCTAGTATAGCAACTAGAGCCTCAAGGCTCTGCAAAGTAATTGATCTTACACTTAATATCGTTAGTAGGTTTCAGAAAATTAATATCTAAGTTCTTATTAATTTTATCTCATAAGATTATTTGTTTAAACTTTCTTTAATTAAATTATGGTAGATGACGAAAGAAATGTAAAATAGGCGTATATCTCGTGAATACTGGTTAATAATCTTTATGATAAATCACCATGCAAAAAAACGCTACATTTAGGGTATTTTCGGTGTTAAGTTATGTTAGCTAGCTTTTGAAAATGCTTCTTGCTATGGCAGCTTAAATAATCGATATATAAAATTTAGAATCTATTTCTAATTGCAGTTGCTTTATCAATGAGCTATGCAGAGATATACTCGCATATTAGTCTGCGAAATTCGCCTTACCAGCTGTGTATTGTCATAAAAAATTATTATTGCCGTGTAACTTTTTTACGACGGTAAAGAGCCTAGAAGTAATGAAAGTCTCGATTACAGGAAAAAGGTTAATTGGTCCTGAGACAAAACTCCTTAATTATTTCATGAACTATTATATTGAACATTATTAAACCCTTTGTATCTGGTCTTCTTAATATGTCGAATACTCAATTTTTACTATTTAGACATAACTGTAGCAATGATATCATAATATCCATGTAGACCTTTTAAAATAAAACAATATATAGCAATCAGAACTGCAATATATTTCTTAAAAGAGCCTAAAAAACATTTCTTGATTGCAGATATATAATATAGCAAGTAATATTAAGCTATTAGTTTATTCAAAGCATAGCTATCAAATACAAGTCTCGAGAACTGTCATTGAGGTGACTAAATCAACATAACTTAAGGTTCAAGAAGGTTTTTGCTAATGTAACTAGAGGAAGCAAAAACACCTGTAAAGAATAGTTCTATTTCTTCATCTTAAGCGTCCAAGTAACTCATATTCATATAACTATCAAGACAATTTGCTTGAGTATTTTCCAGTAATATCGAATTTCTTAGTTTTCATTTTAATAAATACTAAGAGAAATTGTTTTGATTCCGTAAGGTTGCATTTAATATCTATTTCCCTTCAATCTTTCTAATCGACTATTTAGCAATTATGTTTGATTATCAGCTATACAATCTGTAAGAATCAAGCGAAAAATACTTTGTTAAGTACTAACAATTTTAAATTAATATCGTCAGCTGTGAAATCGTAAGTAATAAAATACTTTCTAGTATTCATGGACAAAACTCTTTATAATATTTATGCACTAATAATTCATAAACTATTACAATTTTAAGAACTAAAAAGTTAATGATAGCTTTAGCTGCAATAGATATTGTAACCTCCAATCTCTGGTTTATCTTTAAAACTGAATTAAATGAAGTTTATATATTAATTAGTAAAATCATCTAAGCTAAGAACGTAAAGCAGTAATAGACTTAGAAAAATTGCCTTAATATTAATTGTTTGAAGAAAATAAGCAGACAGAATATTATAGTTAATGCCTTATCTCATGCATTATTTAAAGTCGGCGGTTACTTATTAGGTTACAATGGTTATTTTGCTTCGAAGCGAATAGGTCGATTAAATCCTAGTTTAGGCTAGTTATCTTAGACAATAATATTTCGTATATGAACTAAAATTAGGTACGAGTAGTAGATTATAATGGTTTACTTGTAAAACAGTTATGTTAAGAATATTTTTTAAGCCTTTAGCGTACTGACTATGACGAAGCTAAGATAGCTTGCGTTGTACTCTAACTATCAGATATTCTCAAGCTAATTACTTTAAGCGTTCATAAACCAAGTTAGTTACCTTAGACTAAATACTACTTTAGTCACTATCGTAGAATACCGAAAGCAATCAAACACTACAAATATTGTGGAATCCGTCGATCATGATTAATTGTTTGATAATACAAGACTTACAACCTAAGAATATGGCTTACTAAAAGTAATTATATTTCGCTATGTTGTCATACACTAATTTGTGATCTATCATTAACAGATAGCCTAGCGGAAGATAGGCGGTTCGAGTTGCTATAGGTTTTTGATCAATACGAACTGAAATTAACGCTTTCTAACAATGAGGGTACAGAACCGCCTCCCCTATTAGTTAATTAAGATCGAGCAATATAAGCGATAATTTACTGCGATACTACTAATTGAATCAGTTAATGTATCTTTAAATTGAATGAATAAGACGAAAATCATTAAAAATCTAATGTAATTAATATCATCTGGCGATGAATCAAAATTTTAAAGTTAAAAAGTAAAAAGTTGGATGGTAAATTATTTTGCGCAATTGCAAAGAAAATGTGATTTCCGGTAGCAGAAATTCAATTTTATTGCAATTCTAAAGCATTATGCTTTGTTTTTATAAATAAAAACTGAAAGTCATTTGTTACGAACTAAATTTAGGTAAAGGATGTGTAACTTTTAAGTACAGTACATGATGATGGAGTAATAGCTATACTTAAGTGACCGTTGTGTTGTTTCTGCTTTACTCGCCTAGACTTGACATATAAATTTTTAATCAATTCTGATAATTCATAAGTTGAATTATTACTGTTTTGTGTACTAATTAATTTTACTAAGTTCATATCTAATTAAATTCATTTCAGTAAATAATCATCATGAAACGAAAAATATTTTCTTATCACATAGCTCAGATACGCTTAGGATTATGGTGTACGTCGGCAAATTTAACGAATAAAGTAAAGTTAGTAAAACTTTATCCTTTTCAGTAATCTTAAACTTTTATTTTTTGAGATTGCATGAAAGTATGATGTGAAGACGATATCGATTAACAAACATCACTGCAATAGCTAACAAACAAATTCATTAATCTAAGTTTCAATCGAATTAAGATACTGATAATAGAGATAAAATTATAAGAAAATGTTAACAGGCGATTTATAAACTAATAACCCTAAATAATTGCTTTATTAAGTAAATTATCTCCATTACTACAATACAAGAGGCATTTAGTTAAAATATATTGCAAAGGTACCACCGCTTCGACAAAACAGGAAGTCCTCAGAAATACAGCATTAGTAATGATTTTTAACGGTATTAGCAACACTGAATCTACTGCACAAGTATTAATGTAACCATTTATCGCCATGATAGATTGTAATTTAAACGAAATTTTCAAGAATGAGTTCATCAATGTTAAGCATAGCCGTATCTATAAATTCAAGATTCGATAATAGTTCTGATATTCAATCAAATCACACTTACGAATTGAACATAATTAAGTGGAAAACAGTGATTTCATCCTCAATTTTACTTCCGATTTTTACATTTGGAATTTTTGGTAATGTTTTATTAATTTCTACTATTCATAAACATAAAAAATTTCATACACCATCTTATATTTTATCAGTTAACATGGCCATATCTGACATTATACAGCTACTGTTTGGCACCACTTATCTTGTACTTAACGTTATCTTGATATACGGATTTTCTTTAAATACTGCGAGTTATAAAGCTATTTGTCAAATTCACTTTTCGGTACTAAGTTCATCATTTACAACTTCGTCGCAGTCACTTTTGGCAGTTAGTATAGATCGCTACTTAACCATTAATACTGTAAACAATTCTAAATCACCATTTACAAGGCGTAAAGTATTGATTTTAACTATCATTTATACATGGCTTATAGGATTCACATTAGCAATTCCTGTAGCTTTTGTAGTTGATATTAATCCTGCGTTTCCGTTCTTGTGCGATTTAAGATCAAATGGCATGGATCGTAACCAATTGATACCTATAATTCGATTTATAACGGCGATTATTTCTTATCCAGTTCCCTTACTAACAGCGTCATTCTTATATCAGAAAGTAATTAAACGAATACGATCGTCTATAGTGGCTCACAATGAATTAAAAAATAAAGTTTGTGTATGGAAGAATCACTCTAGACAAGTTGATGCAACTAAAATGATGATTATAGCAACCGTAATATTTATGATAATTGCATTACCCATGTTCATCGTTTTGGTACTATTTTCAACAACACAAACCTCTGTAACAGAATTAGTGTTGGAAGGAGGACTTGTACCATACATACTTATAACAGGATCATTTTTGCTGGCTATGATTAATTCTGTTCAAAATCCGCTTGTTTTCTTCGTCTATAACAAAACATTTCGCAAAGCTATAATTAATAATAGACGTCAGTACAATTTGCGTTTTCTACCATCTGCCAGATTTTTATCTCGTGTATCATAGAATTAAACGTTTATATATGCTCCTATATCATGGAAAAAATGATGTCAACTCTAATAGATTAAATTTTTAATTACAATTCTTACCAATAGACGAATAGCACATTAATCGTATGTCTAATTAGTAATACCAATTTTCTAATTTATTGCCACAGTATATTACAGTCTTATAATATTTTCACTTTTTTATCTATCTTAATTATTTTCAATTTCGACAAAGAATTCTTTATCGAGTGTGAGAAATAAAGACATGCATTTTTTTGCATAAGAAACAAAAATTACTGAAAAAATCATATCAACTATAACTTGTTAAGGGCTTAACCTTTTCCTATTAACAACTACAATCATATGATAAAAATTATCGCTCTGAACAAACATCTCTTACTAAGCTATAATATCTAATTCTACATATGTTTGCCAAAAGTTACTGAGTGACCAGTATTTTCTGTGGTTAGATTTAAGTAATAAAGAGAGCCAATAAACTGAATGAAATCAATTAATTTTGCAGAATTTGTTTCTGGACTTTAGTATTTAATTCCATATTTAAATCTATAAAACCTTTTTGAATTACCAGGATTCTTCTAGACTAGAACTATATGTTTATGACTACTAATTTAAATACTCTGTAAATTTAGAAACCCACTTTGGTTAATGATATATTCTTAAATATTATTTCGTAGAATTATGTACGAAATCATCGTTAAACGAGTTCAATCAATGTCTCTACATTATATAGTAAGATTACTTCCTCAATTTGTGGCACAGAATTATATCGCTTAAACTTCTATTTTGAAGGAAAACAGCGATTGAAGCTTTATATTTGCATTAATTTACTTACCACCGTCGCCATTTACTCAGTGCATTTATATTTATTCCCGTATTTAAAGCGACTACCAGTTAAATATGTAATACAAGACATAATTAGCTATTTCTAAAATTGTTTAGGTACCAGCTTTATTTTAAAATTTATTCTTAAATAATAGGTTACTTAAGGTACATTCTTATTGCAAGTCTTAATTCCTATTTAAATTATAACTACATGGAATTATTAAGAAATAAAATTCTTAAATGTAGCTCGGGAAAAGTTAATCTACCATTTAGTAAAAGATTTGCTGCATTTCCTTTGCACTTGAAATACAATATTACCTTACCAACCGCCTTTAAAAATTGCAACCAAAGCATTTTGTTAAGTAAGAAAGAATTTTGATTGGATTATTACTACACTTTAAGTTAGATTATAAAAATCAAGAAAAAAAGTGATATTTATTATGAAGTAAATAAAATATTGTTATCCGCCATCAACAGAGAACCATATTTAATTGTTTATTACACTAAATCTGTTCGATAACGCAGATTAATACAAGAAACTCATTAATTTGCAACCTAAAGTAAGCTCAGTAAATTATAATTATTAAACTATTTCCCAACTGCTGGAAATTTGGAAATTTATACTGTAGAGCTTATGAATTCAATTAGTAAAATGGCTTTTTAGGATACATATGAATAATTAGTATCAAAATATATGCGTTTCTCAGGAGCGCATATCACATGTCCTAAGCAGTGGTAATTGATCTGATATAAAGCTTTGAAAACATCTTATAACAAACTTTTAGTTTCTTTTTTGTACTAAACATTAACAGATAACGAAAGTTTAGGTATTATTATTCCCAGTCTATAAGATAATAAAATAATTTATGTGATATTTATTAAAATTCATTAGTTTTTATAATAAGTGAAACGTTTTGTTTTACAATTAACGCAACTACATAAAGCAATAACCTTGCAATTAAAATTTGATTGGAAGATATAAGCCAGATATTATGCCTAACATTTTCCTTAGTCGTAGTCAACTTACTTAAACATTTTTTCATCAGAAGTTCAAACTCAAGTTATAATCCTTCAATAGATATAGTCTAAGCCCATAAGTTTTCAAAAATCACTTCAATTCTGCTTTGTTTTGATAAATGATTTTTTGCAGAAGTCAGCATGATAATGATAAGTTATTGAAAGCTAAATTACCTTAAATGACATTATCTACTTTTACAAACCTTTGTTTGGCAAACCTTATTTTCAATATTCTTGCATTTTATTACATGACACTAAAACTGTTGCCCTAGTACAAAAGTAATCTTAAATAAAGCTGATGCACATAATTACATAAGCTGAAGGAGCGTTTATCTCAAAAGTCCTTTCGAATTAAGCTATAGATGCTATCATATATGTGTATTAACCTGCGTGAATAAGTATATCGGCAATTTGCGGAATCCTTTATTTTGAAAATTGGCTGAAATGCTATAGGCATTTTACAAAATGACATAATCCTAGGATATTTGAACAGATACGTTACATTGTCAACTAATGACAGGTTTATTAGATTTATAACAGTTATATTACGCCTTATAATGTATAAGACTCCCCAAAATAGGACTACGAGCAATAAAAATCAACATCCAGATAAAGTAATTGGGTTTACTTTATAATTTATTGCTTGATAATACATATCGCAAGCAGTAAACGAAATTTCTTATTATCCTAGATATTTACTCTAAAATAAATTATTATAAAATAATTTTCAGGAATTTAAATATATTGTTCATAAAGCAAAATTTATGATATAATAATTCAAATGCAACCTTCATAGAGTGGACTAGCAATGTATAAATGCTGAAATTTTAGAAAGATTAAATTGATAATTGCTGCCACGCCAGCAAGGATACAAGTCAGTAAATCCATTTATAAAAGTTGTTAAGTATTCATACAAATCTTCCATTGACCTTTCGTATTTCAAAGACAAATTCATCAAGATGCGCTATGCTAGTAACGTAACTTACCTTATCTGGTAGTAGAAATTTAGTGATGATTGGTAGATTAAGTTTTTATTTTAATTTAGCCTCAGCACTTTATAGATAATCATAACTTTGTTCCTGAAACAATCATTTTACGTATGGCTGATGATAATAACAATAAAATATATAATATTTGCTCGAAAAGAAACCATTTATATACAACTTTAAGGTTAAGATCTCTAATTAATTATAAATAAAATTAGTTAAATTAGTACCTTTCGCGATTCTAGTTTGTTACATGTAATTCTCACGGGCTGAACAATTAGTGAGTTGAATGAAGACAGTAAGATTAGGTCTCTAAACTTTATGGCGAAGAAGAGCCTCAGAATATCATTAACCATTAGCAAATGTTCATCTTAATCTTAGAATATATCAAAAGCAAATTGTCGAAAATATAGAATTACTGTGGCAGAATTGGAAGTAAAATAAATAGGCTTTCTTTACTTGGAAATATTGAACGCTTGTTAGACTTAAATTTGCCTCTTGCAAGCTATCCTTATTTAAAACATATGTCTAGTGATTGCTAGGCTTCGTCTAAGTAAAAAACTCCTGTATTTATTACGATCTAAAGAAGCAATAAATTTCGGTAAATCTCAAATCAGAATTACTATCTTATTTGATTAATTTGGCTATCAGCAATGTACGTGATATTGCAATCATGATTAATAGTAGAGATCAAGTAGGTTTGAGTGGTCATTTGCACATGTTAGAGCTCCAAATATTCCTATAAGATTTCTTTATCTCAGTTTCTAATAGATATTTCGTAGGGATGGGTTAGAAGGTATAAATTGAATCACAATCTAGTCGCTAGCCATATTCTATTCAACTTGAGATTGAATATGGCTTTGGATAGCTTTCAAGTGCGGAGATAAAAATGTTAATAAGAAATTGATTAGTTCGAGGTCAGAATGGGATGATATGTAATATAGCCTTTACATCAAATTCACTACTGGATACATATCTTCTTTTGTCAGACACGACAAGAATGCATTCAACAACTCAAACTTCTTAATTCCGCTAATGGCTTAGATCAATTCAGTACTCAAATTTTCGAATCTTCGATCCGACTAATATCATACTTGCAAACATTTTAATACCATGCTCACGTAATCTTCAACTATTCCATTAATGGAAGGAATCCCAGTCGGTTTAATTATATATTTAATCCACTGACAACGCCAAAAATTGGCCACCTTACCATTTAAAAAAAAATCGTCTATAAGCCATTTGTCTCTACCTTAGCTCGCCACCTTGCCTCCTATATTGGATCACGTTCAATTTTATCCTCATTGATAGATTTCACTAATACTTTTATCCATTAAATATTAATTAATGATACATACTAAAACGAAAAAACATAATTGGGCAAGTGAATCATTGGATTTTTGCTGATGCTTCTGGCTCCATTCCTCATAATTATGTATGATATGCCGTAACAACGTACATTTGTTTGGATGTCTTTACTGGTTGATTTTGAAACATCTAGTGAGGTATTGTTATTACTATATAGTGATAGATTCACTATCTAACTTAAATATCAATACATTAGGGAGTTGAATGAAGACATCCACTAAGTTCTCTGTCACTTTATCTTCTTTTCAATACTGTATTAGAGACTTTAGAAAATTGTTTTGTCTACCATAATTTCTCATTATAACCTAGAAAAATGTAAATTAATGACGACGTTCAATATAGGAATATATCGTCAATCGAAGCAATAGTAACGTTCGGGTCTGAGTAAAGTAGTGTTCTTGATCCGTTTTTAATCGGCGCAGCTCCCTTAAAAGGCCAAAGTACACGGTAAAGTTTATTTATTTTTGATACAAAGAGGTCACGAGTAATCAGTTGCTTATTAGTATATAATAATATGTGCTTATATATTAGTTGTGAGCGAAATTTGCTACTTATTATTATTTACACAATATGATACAGTAAGAATACTTGAATATGTTAAAATGAGCAATTAATATTTATCGGTATCCTAAATTGTACACTCGGCTAGGCTGACAGTATCTAAATTAAGTCGGATTAAATACACTATCTCAGCATTAGTTAAATTACGTAAGCTTAGAATCTAATTTGCTAATAT